ACAAGAAGAGTTATGTAACCATGGTGACAGGAGAGCATCTGGGCTGTGTTAGCGGTGGTCTCCTGGTGTGCTCTCCTTTATTCATCTGGACTTCCTTCTTTCCGGTTCCTTCTGATCATCAAAAGATGAGAGCTGCAGTAAAGGATAATGAATTTTAAATTTAAAAGTACATTGTTGAGCTCTTTCAGGAGAGCCTGTAAAAGGAAGAGAGAAAAGTGTGAAGGGAGCTTTCTGACTCTACAAGATTCTAGGTGTCTGCTTTTTTGGTTTTGAATTTTTATATTTTTACTCTTTGGTAAAGAAACTTTATTAGAAGCTGAATATATAGTACGGCGTCATTGATTTCAAATTTTAAGAGAGCCCTTTGCTTTTGTGAAAAGTATTGTAAAGGAAATTTTGATGCAGGACCTTCTTTGCATATTACAGATTGGTAGATGTAATAAGATGGAGAGCAGTGAGTCTCCTTAGACTAGGATACAGTTCCAATTCATGGGATGCCAGCTGTCTGTAGTATATTTACTCTTCAGTAATATAAAAATCCTGCAAACAATGTCCATGTGTGTATGTATGTATGAGCTAGGTATGTTAATTAGCTCTGTATTTCAATTTCTGGTAGCTGGAAGCATGTTGAAAAGGAGTATTTAACGTCTGGATTTGAAAAGGTTACTAAGTTTTAGACTTGAGTCACCTTTGGGCAATTCAGTTTTGTTGATGTAGTAGTTCATAGTATCCAAAGTACAACTTGTCACTTGTGGGCTGGGTCTTATATCAGTCCTGGAAGGATGGTGGAGGCAGGTGTTGAGAGAGAGAGAGGGGCTACTGAGTATGTGTGTATCATTTCCAAATATCTGTGTGTTTGAGCGTGTACTACAGATGCTTGTCTATTTGTTGCTGAGAAATAGTGCATTTTTCCAAAGGTCATTTCACTACAAGTGGCAAGACAAACCCGATTTCTAAGCAAGCAGACACCATGCTGTTTTTCTTGTAATTGAGATCCAGGATATAGTTATGTGAATAAATTATATTTGCTGATGTTAAAAAAATCTAGATAATAACAAACTATAGTCTAAATCAGAACACATTTAAAATTACTCGAGTTTCATCTTACTTCTAACAAATGGTCTAATTTATAGGCATTAGATACGCACTTTAACCAGAGCGTTCTCCGGATCACTTCACTGCCCTAGTTCAGGCTTTGCTATTGTTTATTTTGATGTTGACCTTGAGCATACCTCACCCTTCTCAGAGCTTTGGTCTTCCTCTGGGTTGGAGAACCAGGATCATGTTCTTCAGTTGCCCTCTGCCTACTTCTGAGGGCTTATTTTAAGGGTTAATATTCTGCTGGTCCTGAGATTAAAAGTGCTAATCATTCACAAGAAATTTTCATCATTCTTTTGTAGTATTAAATTAAGAGAATATCTTCCAGTTGTCACTAGTGAAGGAAATTCTTATCCTCATAACACTTTTAAAAATAGAATTTAAAAAAAATAGACTAAAAATAGCACAGTGGTCAGTAGGTTTCAGCCAGCATTCTCTGTGAGGTCTGCTGAGGCTTCTGGCGGACGCCGCCACTGGGCTGTGTAACATGGCAGTTTTGCAGCCTTGTTTTTTGATGTTTTGCTCTGGGAGACATTTGTATCATTTGAAACTAAAAAATCTTGTGTTTCAACTTTATGAAGGAGATAAAAGCTTTGATGATAAGTATTAATAATAATAAATAGCTTTCAGCTATTCACCCAAAATCATGGAAGTTCTTACATATTTAATTTAATTGAGGGAAAAGGCAGTTGGGAGCCCGGTACTTGTGAGAAAGGGCTTTCTCAGGTGACCCTTGATGCTTATGATAGTATGAAATTTTTAGTTGTATTATTTAAGAATGCTCTAAAAAATCAAGATTTTAATCACACTGCTGTGTATTTATAACTGACTGTAAAGGACTTATTTTATAAAATACATTTTGGACCTATTAAGCCTTCAGTTAAGACTTGTGATTAAAAGTAGGAGGACAAGCTGAAAGAAAAATTTTAAGGATTTGATGGCAATAACACAGCATTTTAGACGGGAGGGTCGAGCTCAGTGGTAGAGTGCATGCCTAGCATGTGAGATCCTCGGTTCCATCCCCAGTACCTCCATAAAAAAAAACAAACAGCATTTTAGAAATCCCATTGAATATAAGAGAAGCAACACACATTTGATTTTTCCTAAAGCATACTTTCTTTTTTTTTCATTTTTCAGTTTTATTAGGTAGACTTGTTATAATTTGACTACACATATACAATATATTGCATGTAAATACATATATACAGTATACTGCGCATTTTTTTTAGTTTACATATGTGTACTGATCACTGTTTCTAAGAACAGTTTAGAGCTTTAGCTTTTTAAACTTGCATAGTTATCAAAGGAATAAGGCCAACCACAAAATAAGAATCAACAGAATGCGATAATCCAATCATAAAGGACAGTCAAATGTGCTAAAGCACACATTCTTAATGTCAGAAGTTGGAATAAAGGCAGAGAAATGTGAACAGAAGGTAGATGAATTTTTGCTGAATTTAGAATCTAGTATTTCCAGGCCATACTAATGAAAACTGTCTCTTTGGAACTCTGCCACTGAGGGTGTTAAAACTGGAGAGATGACTTAAGTGAAGTTTTTGCTGGCTCTCTGTTTATTACAATGTGGTTGAACTAGAGTGAATTTGGTATTGAGCAGCAGGATTCAGAGTAAATGATTCCAGGAAACATTGCAGGTAGCTCCAGGTAGGTGGGCCGGAAGCCGGCCCCTTTCCTCCTGGGGTTCCTTTGTTGGAGCCCACCTTGTGAATGGAGAGCCCGGCTGAAAAGAATCAGCAGCAAGGTCTCCATCTCTTAGTGTGTTTGCTGCACAGCAGAGTTGCTTACTCTGAGGGTCATGGAAAGTTATGGGCGTAAGTATAAAACTTTTGTGTGTATATTTGGGGAGAGAAGAGCCAAAGCTTTCAGCAGGGTTTCCTGAAAGACTCACGATTTAAATGCATAAGAGCCACTGCTAGAAAGAGCCACAGAATTTTCATTCTTTGAGGAAGAAAATGGTCTTTCACAATGAAGCTTTCCTTTTATGAGACTTAAATCTCTTTGCCATTTAAAATCCATTCCCCCCAAAAGTCTCTTTAATTTTATTGCTTAGAGAACAAACTCTCAGAAAATTGGCTTTTTCTATGAGTATAGTTTCTTATCTGAAACATATTTTCATTTGAATTAGAGACACATGTCAGACAAGTACCTAGTTCCCACTAGGTGTTTTTGTTTTTTTTTTAAACAAGTATTTAATGGCCTAACTGGATTGAATTCTTCCAATATAAAAATCATTGGGGTGCTCCAGTGGGGTGGCTTAAGTGTCTTATTAAAAAAAGAATTAGAAAAATTTTGGACTAATTGTTGCTTTTAATTTTGTAATGAATATCAATAGCTTTCTGGGTTTAGACTATATATATGTATGTATGCATGTGTATATGACTGTATGTATGTATGTGTGGATGGATGGATGGATGGATGGATGGATGGATGATTTTATTTATAACCATGCAACACCTTGCATTTTCTCCTTGTTCCCCTCCCAGATTCCTGGGACACCCTGTAGCAAAGATCCTCTATGCGTATAACCCTAGCAGGGAGAGCGAGGTGGTGGTGAATTCCGTGTTTACAACCGCAGGACATTTCCACGTGCCTCCCGTTCACTGCAGGGTGAGTGTGGATGTTCCTGTGGAAACTATGCTATGGCTGGCAGCCAGATTTTCTTGCTTTCCTTGGCCTGAAGTTTTCACTTTCTGCTCCCGGTCTCCCCTTTTCCTGCTACCCAAACTCTTTCCTTCTGTGTGTTTGCTTGAGCATTTATTTTTTCAGTTGTTCAGATTCAGAATTTAGGTGGCTCTTGATAGCTACATGGGGGAAAAAAAGTTTGAAGGGTTTAAATGTGGTAGTAATGTGTGTCTGTTCAATATGACTTTTTCATGCTTAAAGAAACTTAACATTACTTGACTTATAATGACTGCAAATGCTGAAGCATTTAGTAACTAGTACAAGTTTACAGTGGTGACCTCTTCACCTGGCTCATTAAGATGGTTAGGACTCTTTTCTAAATATAGGACTGAGAGGGAGTGAATGGCCCCTTATGAAGCTAAGGGGCCATTTGCACTGGAACACAGAGCTCAAAACTGATCTCCTAATAGTTTTAATTTTAGTAATTCAATTTAATTCGGGTCTTTAATTTTTGTTTTTTTAATGGAGGTACTGGGAATTGAACCCAGGACGTCACACATGCTAAGCGTATACTCTACCACTGAGCTATACCCCTACCCCCTAGGTCTTTAACTTTTAATGAACATCCTAATTACTAGCTGGGTTTATTTATATATTTTCTGATAGACAGAGTAAAATAGACACTTTGTCTTTTTTAGGTACTGGGACTGAGGATGTGGTATAAGGGGGAGCCCAGTGTTTTGTTTATGACAGTCTGCCCAGATAAACACTGTCCTTGACTTAAAAAAATTTTTTTTTGCTTTTGTTTTTTTTTGGGGGGGGAGGTAATTAGGTTTATTTATTTACCAATTTTTAGAGGAGGTACTGGGGATTGAACCTAGTACCTTGTGCATGCTAAGCATGGGCTCTACCACTTGAGCTATACCCTCCCCACAGTCCTTGACTTTTATGAAATATCCACACGTTTGTCCATCGGTGCCTCTCTTTGCTTAAGTGGAGGTAGGACTGTGTCCCACACAGGCCCTTGAACACGGGGGAGAGGAAGAGGAGGGTGGAGGAATGGTGTGAGGCACGTGACCGCCACCCGGGGTGAGAGCTCTCTTGCCGTAAGTCCGTGGTGTGCACTTTGATATTTTCTCTTAGATAGTTAGGTGTTGGTCTGTTCGGACAGCCTCAGGGATTCATGATACATGAATTCATTTATACAATCAAGGGTGCGGGAACCTGCAATCATCTGGCAACAGGAATCGTCAAAAAGAAAGTCTGTGACAGATAGTTTGTCACAGAGGGGCCGTTCTAGGTGGCTAATGAGGTCCCTTTCTTCCAGGTAATTCCTGCAATGGGGAGAACCTCCTTCAGAATTATTTTCTTACCCACTGAAGAAGGAAGCATTGAAAGTTCTTTATTTATTAATACCTCCTCATACGGAGTCCTTTCCTATCATGTAAGTCACTTTTTCCTTCTGTCATGTGATTTGGCTGTTGACTTAATGAAAGGGTTTGGGGAAAAAAAAGACTTTTGGAAGCGTTGCCACCTGGTTGATGTCATGGAGATAAAGGACTATTTCACTGATGACAGCTCACCAGCAATCCCCCTTCCCCTGGTGGGATGTCCTCAGGACAGAGTGCAGAGCCATAGCTGGCCCTGGATCTTGGGAGGGTATTGGAAAGAAACAGAGAAACCTACAGTACAGATTTCTAGTATAAAGAATAGTGGGATTTTAAAACTCACGTCCCTCACCTCAGACAGTCCAGGGGTCGGGAGCTCTGGGCAGCCCCTGGTGACGTTGCCTCCTCCTCTCTGGGACTTGGAACTCTTTCTGGTTGGGGACAGGGGTCCCGTGCTGGGGAAGCCAGTTCTCAGGGAGCTCACAGTTCTCTCAGAGCACTAGGGAGGGAGGGAGAAGAATCTTTCCCTTGTTCACAAAAATAGTCAGGGCTTTTGATCTTAAGTGGTATCTGTGACACCTTTAAGTGCCAAAAGCTATCATTTTTGTGGCAAATTCCTACTGGAGTCCATTAAACACATGATCCCATGTTATTAAAGATGCCTGTTTCTGAGAAGAGTTGCTACAATGAGGAACATCCAGCTTAAATACAGCAACTTTTGTTGCCTTTTTTTTTGTAGTCAAAGATAATCATAGTAATTGGACTAATAGTCTTGAAGGCCAAGTTGATAAGCACAGATGTGCTTTGGAAAGGTATTTCAGTACTATGTCATGTGTGTTTCAAAACTGACGGAGGAGTAATCTGCCTCCACCCTTTTCTCCTGCAGGTATCTGGAGTTGGCACTCGCAGAATCTCTGCAGGAGGGTCTGCAAAGCAGCTACCGAACGCTTACTTCCTCCTCCCACAGGTCCAGAGCATTCAGCTTTCGCAGACACAGGTGATCTTAATAGTAAATTTATTTTGAATGCCAGTAAACACCACATTCGGTGACCTCTAAATTTAGATGTCTTTTGCAGAGTACACACAGACCTTTTTGCATCATCAAGATGAGGATTTTAATATGTGCTCCTCTTGGAAAAAATCCTGATACGTATGGAAATAATATATATATGTAAAGTGTCAGTAGACGTCGTAATAGTTCTTTTTAACGGCTGGATAGTCCACCGAACTGATATTTCATGGTTTGCTTAGTCCTGTTGTTGGTCATTTGCGAAGTGTCCAGTTTTTCATTATTGTTACCACTAGGCTATGTACATATTTTGCAAGTTTCTCAATTTCCCTTTTGGACTACCTGTTTCCTTGGGGTGTATTTTGTAAAGAGGATTCTGTAGCTAAAGACTGTGAAACCGTTTTATAGAACTTGTTAGTCTTGCCAGGGTGCTTTTCAGGAAGGCAGAACCTCCCTGGTCCCGGTGATGACATTTCAGCAAGAGTGTTGTACCCCCTCCCCTCCCCTGCCTGGATGTGGCTTGGTGGCAAGAAACGTTTTTGATGTTTTAGTAGGTGTATAATGCTACCTTAAAATTCTTTTTCTTCTTTTTTGGCTTTTAATTTAAAAACAATTTTTTTTTTTTGGTTTTTTGGAGGGGAGGCAATGAGGATTATTTCTTTATTTTTAGAGGAAGTACTGGGGATTGAACCCAGGACCTCATGCATGCTAAGCATGCTTTCTACCCCATGAGCTATAGCCTGCCCCCTTAAAATTCTTTTAATGCATATTTAATTAATAGCTTATAGGGTTGGCTGTTTTTTTCCCTTTGATTTTTTTATCCTGGTAACTATGGATGACTTTTGAAATTCAGAAAACTGTTGAACCAGTGTGTTACGAAGCTTACCACCTTACCAGCCTTTCTTTCTGATGAATGAATAAAGACTACTGCTCGGACTTTCTGTCAGTCATGGTACCCAGGCTTCCTTCACCATCAAGTCTTCCTGAGCCTCTGCTCTGGGCCAGACATCAGTCCAGCACTTCTGTCTTCACGGAGCTTTCGTTCCAGTCGGGAGACAAGTGAAGTTAATTTACCTGTAATTAAAGGTCCGGGTGCTTTGCCCCCAAATAGGTTAATTCTTAGGGTTTTAAATGTTATTATTATTTTTTATAAAATGGAATAATAGCCCTTCCTCAGGCATTTAAGGGAGGTTTCTTGTAATTTGCAAATTTGGATTTGGTGTAAGTCCTAAAACCAGTGGGACTGTACTGAGAGGTTTGGGGCAGGAGATGGCTATGATCTGACTTGCGTTTCAGAAGGGCTCGAAAGGGCCACAGAAAGTTTCATCTGCGGGTTTTTCCTGTGAACGTTTTCAGCCGTATCTCAGGGCTGTCCTTCAGTGAAGGGGGGCGGCTAAGAATGCCCAGGTTTCTCTGGTGGCCGAGAGTGAGAGCTTTGAGTGCCTCATGCCATATTAGTGGCGATAAAAGTGCTGAAAGCGAGGCGGGTGTTCAGATCGCCTTTGTTAACGAGGTTAATTTAAGGATACGTCGAATTAAAGGCCTCAGAGAGAGGCCCTGCTGGGAAGAGAGCTCACCGGTCCTTCACTCTCCCTGGAGACCCTGTCCTTGCCATGATGCACTCTGCCCTTTCCTGCCTCCCTGCCATCCTCATCTCTCTCCTGGACCACTGCAGCAGCCCGTTAACTGGTCTGCCAGCATCTGCTTTGACCCTTCCCTTTGGGAAGTCCTCTTCCCAAAAATGATAGCTGGACCAGATGAGTCACCTGCTTACCACTTCCCCGGGCATTCCTGTAGGTGTGAGGGCTTAAACCGAAGCCTGAGTGTGGCCGGCAGTCCTGCTCACCATTCTGGCCCCTGGGTTACTGGCACACAGGGCCCTTCCTCCGCCGCCCACCTGTCCACTTCCTCTCCTGCCCCAGGTCCTCCGTTGCGGCGGTTTCCCCCAGACTCCCCTCCCCGTCTTTTCATCCTTCCTTTCCTACCTTGCGTCCTTCAGGGCACCTTGCGGTCTCTCCCAGTCTAGTTCCTGGGCTTCCTAGTCCAGCTGGACACTCCTGTAATGTGGTCCTTAGCCACTCTTTCCTTCACTCCGTGGACTTTCAGCCCCGTGAAGGCGGGGGCCATCTGACCGGGCTTTCCACAGCGTCCCCTGGCCTCGCCCAGGGCCCGCCGTCGGAGGGCTGGTGGCTGGGGGTTGAGGGAAGCTTGGACCGGAGGGGCCTGCGCTCACCTGCCCTGGGCCCGGCTTGACGGTGACTTGGCTTTTCTTGGTCTTTGTTTCTGCTTCAGCTGGTCCCCAAACTCTCCGTCTTGCTTCTTTGTTCTTTCCCTTTGTGCATTTTTTATTTATATTCGAACAGCTTTATTGAGATAGAGCTCACATGCCACAAAATTCACCCACTTCCAGTGTACAAGGCAGCGGTTTCAAGTGTAGTCACAGAGTTATGCAGCCATCGCCACAGTCCGATTTTAGAACATTTTCATTGCCTTAATCGCTGGCAGCTACTGCTCTATTCTCTGTCTCTGTAGGCTTGTCCACTCTGGACATTTCATATAAATGAATTGTGTGGTCTTTTGTGATTGGCTTCTTTTGCTTGGCGTAATGTTTTCGAGTTTCATCCATGTCATAGCACACATCAGTTTTTCCATCCTTTTTATTGCCAGACAATATACTGTTGTAGGCATATGCTAGATTTTGTTTAACCATTTATCAATCAGCGGACATTTGATTTGTTTCGACTTTTGGGCTGTTATGAGTTCTGTGGCTGGGACCATTCACGTACAAGTTTGTGTGAACATACTCCCTAAAGCAGCCCATGTTACCACCTGGTTTAGTTTCAGTTTTTTTAGTACTAAGTAACATGTTTACTACGTGCCAAGGGTATTGATGTTCTTATGACTACATACCGACAGTACTTTGTCTCATGTAACTCTTAAATCGTTCTCCTGAGTGTAATATGTACGAGTGGAATTTTGCTGGGTCATATGGTAATTCTGTGTCTAATATTTTGAGGAACCGTCAAACTGTTTTCTGAAGTCATTTTACAGTCTCACCAGCAATGTATAAGGATTCCAATTTCTCTACAACTTTCCCAAGGCTTACTATTTTCTGGGTTTTTTTTGGGGGGCGTTTGATTTGTTTTTTTATAGCCATTCTGGTGGGTGTGAAGTGATATCCCATGTGGATTTTATTTGCACTTCCTAAATGGCTCACGATGTTGAGTGTCTTTTCTTGTGCCTTTGGTCATTTATTTATCTCCTTTGGAGAAATAGCTATTCAAATCCTTTGCCTATTTTTAAATTGGGTTTTTTTAAATCACTGAGATGTAAGTGTCCTTTATATATTCTAGATACTAGGCTTCCATCAGGTACATGATTTGTAAATATTTTCTCCCATCTTGTAGGGTGCTTTTTCATTTTTCATTTTGATTTTTTTTTTTGGAGGGGGCAGGTAATTAGATTTATGTATTTATTTTAGTGGAGGTACTGGGGATTGAACCCAGGACCTCGTGCATGCTAAGCATGCACTCTACCACTGAGCTACACCCTCCCCCTCATTTTTAATTTTGATGATGTCCAGTTTAGCTGTTTTTTATTTGATCACTTATGCGTTTAGTGTCATATCTAATAGAGCCCTAGGTTATGAAGAGTTCCTCATATGTTTTCTTCTGAGAGTTTTATAGTTTATGTTTTCCAGTGAGGTCTATGAGCCGTTCAGAACTCTTTTTAGTGTATAGTGTGCGCTTGGGGTCCAAGTTCATTCTTTGGCATATGCTTCTCCAGTAATCCTAGTACCACTCGTTGAAAAGACATTCCTTCCCCATTGAATTGTCTCGGCATCCTTGTTGAGTTTCTCAGCTTTGACTCCACTCCTAACCATAGATTGTCTCCTTCATCTTCATTTCTGCTGAGATCTATGACTTAAGCGAGTTACTTTCCAAGGTTGCCCCCAGTGGGCACAGCTCCTCGCATCAGTCAGTTAACAGTTACTTACTGGATGTCATTTCTCTAATGTTCCAGTAAATGACAGAGCAGTGAACACAGCACAGTGTCCCTATAATATAGAGAACATTTCAGAGTTTGTAGGTAAAGCTTACTATTTTTTTTGGCTGATCTTTGGTGAAAATCCAGTATTGAGAGATCCAAATATCAAAAAATATTTCTTAAAAGACATTTATTTACATTTCTTTTATTTTTATGGTGATTCAGAAAAAGAAACTTTGAAATCATTTTCATGGCTTACTATACCTAAAAACAAAAACAAAACCTATAAAATTTAGAGTTAAGAAATAATCATGTCATTCCTCAGAAAACATCTCAACTGTAATATTTTTTGCATTTAAACTGCATACATAAAATACATTCTAGCTGTGTCTTGAGAGGCTGTGAGATTGCCAGCTATCTTTCCACAGATAGGAGTGTCTTTATTTTGATAGTCCCGTGTTTTTATCTGCTTTCTGCCTGTGGTCAAGAACCCATCATCTGGTGGGAAGGGTATAACTCAGAGGTAGAGTGCTTGCCTAGCATGCATAAGGTCCTGGGTTCAATCCCTAGTACCTCCATTAAAAAATAAATAAATAAACAAATTAGGAAAAAAAAAAAAAGAACCCATCATCTGGGGTGGATACTAAGTTCAGGAGGTCGATTCCCTTAAAAGGGGAAGGAGGGTGTGGGGAAGTAGTGTTCATAATCGAATCTTTTCTAATACAGAGCTAGAAAGTGTATCTGGTAGAAAGCTATGGAGCGAGAAAGCTTAGGCAGAAATTAATATGTTACCAACTTGGCTTGGAGTTTCTCAGATACAGAGGATGGTCACTGGCCTTTGCTTGCACTTGCTCAAAATTGCTTCCTAAGGCAGCAGCTAGAAATTTTATGTGATCATGAGGGTTAGGCTCACTAATTCCTTGCAACTTCCTACATGTTACCTCCTACAGATGCCCTGTGGCAGCACTTGGTCTTGTCTCCCGAGCTGCTGAAAGATTTAG